CCACGAAAGCTTAATGCTCTAATAAATTTGTTAGTCTCTAAGGTGCCAGAAGTACTCCTGTTCTTTTTACTAGATTTTCAGGCTGTAAACTCCTCAGGTCACAGACTGTCATTTACTATATGTTTGTACAGTGCTTAGCAGAATGGGGCCCTGGCCTCTTGGACCTCTGCGCACTACCGCAAGCTAAATACTCACACTAATAATAATGATTAAGAAGAGGACAGGGAACCATTGGGGGTTTAAACCACTATCAGGAATTTGGGGGAATAAAGTGAGTGTGTTCCTGTTCAAATCACTAGAGATATTAAGAGAAGCATCCCTGGTGGGTCTCAGAATCTTCTGGCCCATGAGAAGAGATGTGGAGGATGTCTCTCTCATATGGGATCTGGGGACTATGAAATGTATTCCTAAGATGTGTGGTCTCTTAAGCACCTGCACTGGCTTCTGCTCAGGGTTCCTTCCCTGCTTCCTTATAAGAACATAAGACTGGAAGAGGCCTCCGTGGTCACAAGCTGTACCCGAGGCGACAGGAATCCTTACCCAGTGAGGCCACAGCCTCATAATTCTCCTGCATGACGTCCCTGTAGAGGGCTCTCTGACCTGGGACCAGCAGAGCCCACTGCTCCTTGGTGAAATACACAGCCACCTCCTCGAAGGTCACCGGCTCCTGGAATAGCAAGAATCCCACATTCAGAGCTTCCTGCTCCAGCCACAGTCCCACCAGCTCATCACGGGAGACCTGGTTGAGCCCTCTGCTGAATTCTGCCCTGCAGGGATTGGTGTAGTTCCCATGAACCCTAGCTTAGAGTTAGAATCACCTTCCAAAAGGCCCTCACCCCACTTTCCTTGTACCCCACACACTCTTGATGGCTCCATCCCTGCTTTCGTTACTCACAGAAGCATCAATGGAGCGGGGCAGAAAACAGGATTTATTTTTTGGGTAAAAATTCAAATACTGAAAAAAATTGGACAAAATCTGAACTAGTTCAATTCCGAAATGCAGGTCAAAAAACCGTCCCCCCACCAACCTACTCCTATGGAAAATGGTATCCAAAACCAGAAATATTTTGATTTGGAAATGCTGCCCTGGTGCCTCATGGGAGTTGTAGTCTGGGGGCCTCAAGCTCAGGGCCGGCTCCAGGGTTTTTGGCGCCCCAAGCAGCAAAAAAAAAAAAAGAAAAGAAAAAAAAGAAGCTGCGATCGCGATCTGCGGCACTTCGGCGGCAAGGCATTCAATCCGACCGGGCGCCGGGGGCACGCTACCGGAATGGCGCCGCAGCAGCGG